CGATCTGATTAAACTTTTTGAGTTCTCTGGAGATGTTCCATCGATTACATACTTAAGTCACTTTCATATTCCAGATTCGAAATTGCAATTTTTTCTTAGTAAATAATCATGTAAATAATTTTCGCTCATTTTAACCAGTCTGACTATTTTCATATATATTGATATTTACTCGAATACGTGAAGATAATAATGGTTTGGCCTGAAGTATAGTCGGGGTCTCCTTTTGGCTCCTTTTGTCAGGGATATATAGATAAACGTACCTTCGGGATCCATAGTATCCTTGATCATTTCTAGTGTCAGACCGTGTACCTTGTACATTTCCAGACGTTTTGCAGGCATCGTAGTCGAGAAAGCACGTTCCTTAAGGCCTCTCCGACAATACGATTAAGTTTCGAATACAGAATAAAACCACTTTTTGATAAGTAATTTGGATTATATTATTATCATAATTTTTAAGTGATTTTCATTTATGGGGTGTGAATGTTTGTGTTCTTCGGGCTGTACGCAAGTCTTGTACTTCGCTTGTTGTCTCTAAAGTTTAATTAGAAAATATGTACCTTTCCTCCCGGAGATTGGCATATATTAAACTTTTTGTGCCCTTGCTAGTATTCAGTCGTGTTACTTGCTTAGTGTTTTTAACCCAAAGCAACTCCAAATTGTAATGCTCAGATTCAATGTTTTCTAAGCACCAAATACTCTGTGATTTAGCTTATATTGATCATGATCAGAATTGCTAAAGCGAAATACACTGACATTGATGCACTTATAGAGTGGAGGTTTGTTTTTCAGGTATTATTCGTCTGCCAGCCATGATGCTAACATTAAGATGCATTTAAAAAATAAAATCTGACTTAAGAGTAATACATTTTTGTCTATAGTTACTCTAAATGTTTATCTATCCCTTTCGACCCTTTACACTTTTTGAGTTAATATACATCCATGATTCAACATACTTAACACTGCCTCTGTTACGCTTTATCACTCTTAACAACTTTGCTATCCAAGACTCACATAGTTGCCTTATTTCATACACTTTTCTATTATCTTATATATTTGAACATTTTTTTGTAATTTGATCTGGGAATATACAAATTAAATGTGCTTTGAAAATCTCTTGGTCTTGATTCAATGCTCTAATCATATTAAGGTCTTTTTAGGTGACTTATAGTTGTATCTTCCTATTGAAATGGGTGACCTTCTGGCCCCCATGACTATCTTGCAAGATGGTTACGCATCTTAACGCTCACAATCTGGTTTCAAAATTCGTTGAAATTTCTAAAGAGACCCTCGTGTATTTAAAAACTAAATCTTGCCTTTTGGGATACAAGTTTTCTACTTATTTTCTCTAATACGTAGGTCCCTAAACAACCTGCCTTTTGCTTTTAATGCGACAAGGGACTAATGGTAAATTTTTAAAATAATAATATGATTTTTTCTCAGTTTATTTTTTTACCTTTCTCTTTACCTAATTCGTGGCATTGACTCAGCTACAATTATTAAGTTCATGATATCCTCCACATTACCTCTTTCTATTCCGTGTCTCGAAACCAAGCTTATAATTTTGACATTTTAACTTAAAGACTCATCATTCAGCTTTCATGCTTTTTAAGGTAATTTTTCTTACCTCCTGATCAATTCGACTCTATAACCCGCACTTATTTATGCTATCTTTTATGGATTTATATTTACCTTATGCGTAATTATAGTAGAGAAACTAACGCATTTTTTCACCTTTATATTTTCCGGTACTCGATCTTGACTTACCCTTGTATTCTTTTCACATTTCTGCACCTGACTGAATTCAGTAATAGGCTGTCAATACATTTGATTTTTGCGTAGAAGTTCTATATAATTTGTGAAATACCTTTTCTCTGTTATTTTCATCCCTCCACTGATATATAATTAAGCATCCTTTAAAATAGAGTGAAAGCTGAAAATTATCGTCTAGGTAAATCTTCTTAGGCTCATATCTCCAAATTACTACCTAGGATACCTCATGTCTTTCACATTTTCCATAAATCGGATACTTAAGAAAGGCTTTCTTCTTAGTCTCACTGCAAAGCTATGCAAGGCATTATTTTTCTTTAAACTTTCGGGCGAAAATCTTTATTTGTACCCTCTACCTAAGTATATTAAAATATTTTATTTATAAAAGGTCGCGCTTTTAAAAAAACATTCAAAAAGGTATTCCAAGTTATTTTGAAGGTATGAAGAAAAACTGGGTTTTTTAAAGAATTCTTTAGTGTTATATCATTACAGGACTTTCTATTTCGAAGGAAAAATTTGTTAGAAGGAATTCGTGATGTAGTACCATCGGAGGCTGAAGGAGGATTGCTGCGTAGGGAAGACTGTTGTATTGTGATAAGAAATCTTCGGCTCGACCCGTTACCTCGACGAGTCTGTAATAAATCTTCGCCTGTACTGTGACAGTCAACATTAGGGCGAGAATCCATACTTTAAGAATTAGAGCAAAATATACTTGACCAAGTGAAAAGGTGACCGGCTGCAATCCTAGTCGCTCTTGTTGGCTAGGCAATTCAATCGCATTCACTTTTTGAGGTTTGCACTTCAAGTAGAATTATACCTAGATTTTGTATTATTTCTGGACTCAATTTAACTTGTAAGACTAACCTTTTTTGGACGTATACTGCATTCTTTAATTAGAAAAAAGACTAGACTTAGGCAAATCGTGTACTAGTCTCTTAGTTCGGAAGACTTCCTTAAGCCCTAAAAAAGAGCTGATCGGTATGACAAAGTTTTCGACAGGTTAGAAAGACATTTGATGAAAAATTAAGGAATTTGGGTATAAGAATTAGCTCAAGGAAACGATCCATATCTAATGAGTTGAAAGGTATTAAAAGCCGTTGCCAAAAAGTCGTAAATCTATTCAAAACTTCTTTGGCCGGTTCTACTGAAAAGGTCTTAGCAAAAGGCTTAAATTTTGCCTTCCAAATGATAAAAACTTCGATGAGGGAATTTTTTTAGAATTGATAGATGTAACGGATGGTTTCCCAGTCATGTCATAACGATTATAAATTTCTTGTCTTGTCTTGATAGGATTGATTATGTAGGGAAAATTTTAGATGCGTTAAACGATGATATAACTTAAAACTATAATTAGGGACAT